CCCTTCTTATTTTTGAAAAGACCCTTATCTAAAGTTTCAAGCAATAAACAGCAGCACTGGGGAAGAAAGCAAAACGAAAAGCACCACCTTTGCAATGGCAGAGGTGGTGGGAGTGAATATTCATTCTGCTTTTTCTCTGGTTTTCCTCCTCCCCTCTCCTATGTCACGCATCAGGGAGCAAAAGGCTGGGGTGGTAGGAGGGAGCTCCTTTCCCAGGACACTGTTACACAACCAGGTAAAAATCCCCTCTCCTGCTCCAGCCTCTGAAGTGTCAGGTATTGACCACGGTGTAACTGGACACCAAACCAGACCTTGGATCCATTCAGGTGTGGCATTTCCCGTAGTTCTGCATTTGCCTTTGCACTGGATGTGCTTTTAACTAAGGCGGGGGAACTTAACTGAAGCTATCAGGCTACCCTGATGAGCTATTATCCTCCCATTTATTTAAGAACAGCCCTACAATACTTGAATGTCTCCACGATCCTCATCTGAGTTACTTCCCATCAGATAATACTGTAACTGCTGGATTTTACACCAAAAAAACCCCTGACAAGCTCGGCTCCAAGCCAACTCTTCCTCCATCCGTTCCCAACCGTTCCCAGTGTGTATCGTGTGATCAAGTGGTCTTGTTTAGTTTCGTAGCTTGCTTAGCACATGTGGTCACTTCTAGGCAGACTTTGTCTGCAGAAACCATTTCTCTCTTGCTCATGTTGGCTTCTGTGTCTGCAGGGAGTTCAGAACTAGCAGCTCTCTGTCTGTTGACCTTTTTAATTTTTTAATATGTAATATGTATGGGAAATGGCAATAATTTACTGGAGATCTCGTGAATGTGAAAGAAAACCTGCAATGGTTTTTATGGAGTGTAAAAAATAATAAAGAAAAAAATAAAGCCAGGAAAAGAAAGCTGTTTGTTGTACTTGGAGTGAGCTGCAAAAGTGCTTTGGCAGAGCTTGGTGGCAGCAGAGATCACCTGAGAAAAATGCCATGGCCCAAAAGTGGTGTAAGGAGGTAGAAGTGGAGGGTAAGCATCACTGGGCTCTGTGCTGAAAGACTCCAAGGTACATCTCTGCGGAGGGGAGAAGGTGAGGGGGAGGACTGTTTTAAACAGAATGACATGAGTCATGGTTGTGTCACTTCCCAGCAGCCAGGCAGGCACTTCTGTTTCGGTTCACGCATGTTTTACACGAGATTTGCCATGTTGCTGAAGATGAAAATCTGAACGAGGCACGGCCCCCGCTTCCTGAGCACGTGCCATGGGGTGCTGCATGCCCTGGTCCCTGGTGTGATGCATGTGGGTGGCAGGCCACCCGCGAGCGTCACACCAGGCTCAAGGGCATGTGGGTAATGCTCATTTTTTCGCTCCTTTAATGAAAAAAGAAAAATTGAAGCACCAGCATCTCTGAGCCATTTCATAGCCCTTTTCATCTGGAAGTTTTTAGGCTCTTTCTGGCTCATCACTGCAGCACGCTTATAACATGTGTTTCCAAGCTATCAGGTTGAAAAAGTTATGGTGGATGACTGGCTTACAAAGTGTCTATGCTCTGTGGGATGCATCCATTTGTAATTTCTTACCCCCAGGGAAGCAAATCTGACAAGTGAGAAGCTGTCATTGGAGATGAGCCATTGAGTTCTTCCCTGTGTCAGGGGAACATGGCAGAAGCCCTGCTTGGGTTCTGGGGGAACCAAACATGGGAACCAGCAGCTGGAGGTAAGGCAGGTGATCTAATAAGAGCAGATCAATTAATTTTCTAAGAGATCTAATTGCTCTGGAAAGGCCTTTCTGGAAATCCATAGCCAGCTGCAGTGAAAAGGCCTCTCAGCCCTCCCAAGCAGAAAGGCTGGTAGGCTTAGCGAGAGGGGCTGCATCCTGACCACAGAGACCTACAGCCTTGACAGGAAACAAAGCAGCCAACAGCTCTCATTAAAACAGCATAAAACCCCTTCTGGGGGAATGACCAGCTTTGTTTCTCCAGGATGAGGAAGCTGGAGCCCTCTGCAGAGCTGATGATGTTTGCCATAGGAACCTGCAGAGCATAAGGCAGAGGGCTGAATTCAGGGGTTAACGGAGCGACTGCTGGCCTTGGCAGATTTGACCACAGCAGCTGGAAAAGATCACAGGCCAGGCAGGGAAGCCAGGTATTTAGCAGAGAGGGAAGGCAGCTGCTCTGGTTTTGGAGGGGAGCTCTGACCCTGGGTTTTAGCACAGTGTGTTGGTGGATTGTGTTGGCAGGGGGAGACGCTGGGCTAGGATTCAGGAAGGAGTGAGGGCCAGAGTCCTGTGGGAGCCTGAAAATGGGTTGTTGTCATGCCTGGGCATAGGAGCCTGAGGTTTGTGCTGCTGCCCAGGGCACCATTGCCCTCTGCTTGGCTGGTCCCAACCCACGTCTCCTCCCTGCAGGCTGAAGGAAGCCCCAGCATCCAGGGCAGATCAGGATGTAAATGCTGCCTCCCAGAGGGATATGCTCCCATGCTTGTGCTGGTGCCTGCTTTGCTGCTTCAGTGCTAACGTAAGACCTCTGCCTCCAGATCAGCTTCTCCCTCCGCCACCTTGGCAGATCCCGCCTTTCTGAGGGGACATCACAGCCATCTGACTGCAGGGCTCTGGGGTGAGAGTATGTGCTCTGCTCCCTTCCTGGCCATGCTGCTCCCACGGGCAGGGTGGAGCTGAGGATCCAAGCACCAACGTGTGAAGGTGAGCGTGACAAATCAGGATGGCACCTACTTGGGAGATGGGATGTGTGAGTTTGAACCTGCGTGGGCAGGGCAGGAACCTCGGTTGTCTGCTTCCAGACACCAGCACGTGACAGCTACCTCTATCCTTAGGGAAAGGAAGAGCTCTGACAGTGTTTTGTGGCTTGTGTGCTGAGCAAATTCACCAGATTTGGTAGGATGGAAGATTTAGGGGGCTTTTATACCCTAGATGGGCTTGGTTTTGGGTAGCTCACTCCTAGGGATGGAAGTTCAGATCATGCAGGTGTGTTGGTAATGTCAGAGATGAAGGATGCGGGCTGAAAGTGAGGGGGGTTGAAGTGGTTGGGCCAATGTGCCTGTGTCCACCTGCCAGCTAAGCTTGATGGAGGAGCAGGGATCTCAAAAACAAAGTTCTGATGGAAAGTAGAGACCTAAGTAGCTGTGACAGCAAGGGGAAGGCTATAGCATGATGCTTTCAGGCATCAGAAAATGCAAGTGAGGGAAAGATGCCAGGAATGCTGTAGCCTTAGGCAAAACTTTGATTAGAGCTTATCCCTTATGATACCTGGATCCAAAGAAGATGAGAGGAAATGTCACAGAAAAGAGGATTTTGCAGGTTCTGCTGCCCATGGAAGTGCTGTTTCAGGGCTTCCCTGGGGCATGCACATCTCTCTCCACTGACGCTCCTGATGTTGCACCCTTATGTCCTAGACTCCTTGGTGTCACTGAGGAGCTGTTTCAGATCCTGGTGTGGGACTGAAAAGGGCTTGTGCCACGTAGCTTTTGGTCCCTTGCTTTTAGGCTTGCAAGGAGCAGTCATGTTGCCAGCGTGAGTGCTCTTGCTCAGCCCTTCTCTGCTTTGCACATGCCGCCTTTCCTTTCTGCCTCCAAGACAAACAAACTTCAAAAAGCTGCCACAAAACATACATGTCTTTACGTGGCTGCAAATCAGGCTGTGAAGAGATCTGGGGTGGGGGTGGATGGGTGGGTGTTGTCCTTAAGTGTCCCTATGTGTTCTTTCAGACCATACATTGCTGGTGTGATTTGCAGCCTGTGCTGGTTACAAAGACTTCTCCCGCTTCTCTGATTAAAGGACTTTCCAAAAGGCAGAAATTACATCCTGACCAGTAAAACCCAGGTAAAATTCACCTGCTCCGTGGGGAGTTTATACTGAGGTGCCCATCCCCAATCCCTGAGCAACATGAGGTAGGTAGCTCTTAGCTTCTCACCTTCTGGTGGCGAGCTTCTTTTTTCAGGAGACAAAGCGTGAATGAACAAGACATTCTGCAGGCATTGTTATTTGTATGCTAAAAACAACACTTGCTGGGAAGTCAAAGGCCCAAATGTGCTTGTAACATGGCAAAAATAAGTGAGGCTCCAGGCATGGTGAATTTGACCCTCCATCTCCACTTTTCATGGCTTCGTGCTAATTGGACAGGAGACATGCTGCCAGCTCACTCTCTGGGGAGAAAAAGGCAGGAACCAATTTGCAGAGCCACATAAATATGGAAGTAGGATTTTTTTTGGCGTGGGAGGTGTTACCAGTACCACACATTACGGTTCCTTGGCTTTATCACATTGTAGGCTTTTACCGAGACATGAGTAAGTACTCTAAATAAGGAATATGAAAATAGCTTGTGAAATAGGTTGAGTCATCAGAGAAAACCAAATGAAGTTCTGACACTGTGGTCTCAGTTGCAAAGTCCTACTTTGTTTTACTGTTGCGTTATAAACTATGGGGTCATTTCAGTCTGTCTATTTCAGCTTCAGAATTCAAAGTACCTGACATCTAAGTAACGCTTACCAAATGGGTTCATTTTTCTATCAGCAGCGGTGCTGCATCCCTATCAGTTCTGCCTATGAACACTTGCAGGGAACGTAAAGGTTACCAAGAGAAATGGTTTCTGTCCTTATAGCTGAAATGCTCAGCATTTCTTCCAGCTTTGTCTGGTTATTAAGGAGGATTTATGGCCCCTAGATATCCCTTCCAAGTATTAGCCTACA